TTGAAATGGGATGGCGTCCATTTCTGTAAAACTAAATCATTGCCACCTTCCCGCTGCCTTGCGGACAGGCTTTTTGAGCCAAAGACTGGATGAGGACCCTAATCGTCTTCCTGTCTAGGTCTGGGCGCCCTGGCAGTATCTCAGCCCACATACAACTATGCCATTTTCTTCAAACATAAACTTCATCCTGCATCGGCCGTCGCGCAGATTATCAAGGGTCGCCTTATCTGCTGCATACAGCAGGGCGGATAAGTGAAAACATGCTACTGCTGGCGCCTCCTTTCTTTTCAACTTTTTCTCTTACTCCCATCCCGATCCCCACTACTAACCTTCCTTCTATAATTCCCAGCTTAATTGACAGCAACCGAAGTGCCACTGGAGTAGAACCATCTGCAGTCACCATCCCTCCACACCTATCTGCAAAAGTCCCTTGTAAGGCCACGCTATCCCGTTTCCATGGCGACATTCAACGTTCGCACTCTAAGACAAACAGGTCAGCAGGCTGCACTCGCACGAACCTTGGACACACTGTGTATTGATGTGTGTTGTGTGTCCGAAACTAGGATCAATGACCCTGACGGGGTTATTGAATTGACTGCACCCGACTTATGCTCTCGTTATTGGTTGCACGCATCCGGAGACGCCGATGCAGCATTCACGGGTCAAGCTGGTGTAGGTATCATTCTAGGCTCCATGGCTGAGTCATGGTTGGTTGATTGGATTCCGGTGAACAGCCGTTTATGTGCAGCCCGTTTGACGACATCAGTTAAGGTTGATTCACGAAGTAGTACAAAACGCTGTTTGTTCTTGATTTCCGCCTATGCTCCCACCGACTGCAGTTCAGATGTTCTCAAGGGCATATTCTATCACGAACTCAACGCGCTACTATACAGTGCTACTAGTTCAGATATTATAGTACTTGCAGGGGATATGAACACACAAGTAGGGCGTCTGAGCTCTTCAGAAGCTCAGGTAGGTGGTAAATATGGGCTTAACTCCGAACGGACTGACAACGGTGAGTGTCTGCTGCAATTGTGTGCGGAGCACCAGTTGTTTTTTAGTAACACCGTTTTTAGGCACAGTGGGCGCCGAAGTGCCACTTGGCGTCCTCCTATAGCTGGCCAGCGATGGACCCAAATTGACCACATTGCCATAAGTTACAGATGTCGTGGTTCCATCCTGGATTGCCGCTTGTACTGGAATACCTGTGTCGACTCTGATCATGCCTTGGTACGTTGTCGTTTCTCCCTGTACTTTACCGGGAGGCGCACCAAGCGCCCCCTACGGAGAAATTGTCTCAGTCCTCGGTCAGGCAAGCCTATCAAGAGGCGCTGCGTATCCAACTTCCGCTGTCTTGTCCTAATGACACTGAGCTTCATTGGAATATGATCTCGGCCGCCATGCACGACGCAGGAGCATCTGCTTGTGGCAACATCAATCGTCACCGCACCAGCCACTGGATATCCGAGAGGTCCGTGAACCTGTTGGAAGCTAGAAGACACCTCCCGGCTGGTTCTGAACACAATGTGACCAGACGGGCTATTAGGCGTGAACTAAAGCAGAGTCCACGTGCTGACAAGGAATCCTGGTGGACGAGTAGAGCTAGATAAATGGAGGAGGCAGGAGCAGTAGGTAATTACTGCAAGCTCTTCCAGCTTATCCACACCACTGGTCCCAGAAAACCAGGCGTCAATGAGAAAATCAGAGACAGCGCGGGTACGCTGATACACAATAAGGAGCGCCGTATGGCTCGTTGTCCGGAACACTTTCAAGATCAGTTCAGCTAGCGCCCTACTCTTGGACCTTTTCCTGCTCAGGTGATGCAGGACGAGCCATGGACGGTTAGTTTAGAGCCTCCGCCGGAGGCCGAGGTCCGATACGCGATTACAGCCGTCAGCCCGGATTCCTTCCCACCTGGACTATTTAAGGATGGAGGTGAGGTCCTCTGCAAAGCACTGACCTCCTTATTCGAATGTATCTGGAAAGAAGTGTCCCGGCTAATTGGAGCGAATCGATCATAGTGTAAATATACAAGAAGGGCGGTCGCACAGACTGTGAGAACCACAGGGGTATTAGCCTAACGCCAGTTGTGACAAAATTACTCGTCTAGATTCTCGTTCGTCGCCTCACTGCGGAACGGGAATCTCGGATTAAGGAAGAGCAGGCGGGTTTCCGGCCAGGACATGGCTGTATAGACCATATATTCACTTTGCGGCAGGTGCAAGAGGAGCGCCACGCATACCGCAGACCGACAATAGCTGTGTTCCTCGATTTCAAGAGTGCGTTCGATTCAGTCGATTGCTCGATTCTGTTCGAAATACTTGTGCGGAAAGGTGTTCGCACAAAATATGTGAACATCCTTCGTGCTCTATACTCGAACACTAGAGGCCGCGTCAGGGTCTATGGTGCCCTATCGGATAGCTTTCCAACCACAAGTGGCGTTCGTCAAGGTTTGTCCGATTTCGCCACTTTTGTTCAATTCCGTAGTTGATTCTATCATGGAGTGTTTGCTTGCGGAATCTCCCGATGTAGGCGTTGAAGTGCTGCCTGGTGAAAGTTTAGTTGATCTTGCTTATGCGGACGATATCGTCTTGCTTTTCGACGATGTTGCGGCGACACAATCAACCCTGAATAGCCTGTCCAGAATGGTCCCATTATTTGGTATGCACTTCGCACCTTCAAAGTGCAAAGTGTTGCTGCAGGACCACCAGCCACTTGATGACCCCTTGACGCTTGCTAACGAGGAACTCGATGTGGTTGATCAATTCACTTATCTTGGCAGCTGCTTCAGCAATGATGGGCGCAAAGAAACTGACTTGAGCTCACGCATTGCAAAAGCCAGAGCTGTCTTCTTGAACCTGCGGTATCTTTGGTGACAGAAAGGAGTTTCCCTTCGTCTGAAAGGCCGTGTATACAAGGCCACAGTGAGGGCCGTTCTGCTTTATGGTAGTGAGACTTGTCCCCATCAATCTGAAGATCTGAGGCGCCTTCAAGTCTTTGATCATCGTTGTCTGCGAAGCATTGCTGGTGTCGGATGGCACCAGCGTATCCCCAACGGTGATGTGCGTAGGCGAGTACTAGGTGGTGATAATCATGCTAGCTCCCTAGAACAACAGATAGCACAGAATAAGTTGCGTTGGCTCGAGCACGTGCTACGTATGCCTGGTCACCGCTTACCTAGGAGCGCCTTGTTTAGTCTGCCAGGTGTAGGGTGGCGCAAGGCTCGAGGTGGACAGAAGTTGACTTGGCAGCGGGAAATGTAGTCACTGACGACCAAACTGAGTGCTGTTGGTCCGTGTCGTCTTTCGGGCTGGAGTCCACGTGAGTCGCCTTGTGCTCGGCTCGAGACTTTACAGGACATGGCTCTCAACCGACACCAGTGGCGCGTCTGCTGCCGTCTCCTAATCGGATTGTCTGTTTAAAGTGTGTTTGGTGCTGAGTTATCTGCGGGGTAATGGCTGATTATGACGCGTGGCAGTGAAAGCCGCAAGGAAGCTGTCTCGCCGATGCCGCCTTTTGTTTGCGCGATAACCAGCTGTTTGTGACGGTATGTTGTCTACACAAGTTGTAGGCGCTTTGACCCTGAATGTTTGCTTAGGGCATTAAGGTTTTCAAGTAAGTCCCGCTTCTCTCCATCTTAGTATTCTTTATTTCATAGGTCATCGTGGTTGTATGGCACCGAAACATCAGTTCAAATGGCTGATGTACTGCTGTTGATGATGAGGATGATTTGCCACTTTTTTAATCCTCTTTCGCCTTCTTTTGACAAGGACTGAATCCTGCTGCTCTCCTTCGGTAACAGCCGTATCAAACGCGCTATCTGAGGGTTCTTTACTAACAGGGTCATTGCTAACAGGTAAACTGACATTCGACAGTAATCAACAGATGGAGGATCTGACAGACCTACAGAGAAGAGGTCGTTGAATCCCGTCTGGATGGCTGTCGTTTTTTCTCTTCTCCCACTATTTCGTTTTTATTGTTTTAAAGAAGACATTTCCATTGTTCTTTAGCGTTATTCACACCTTAGCGTTCGTTCTCTCCACAGCTGTGACAACGGCATCCAGCTCGCCACACGCTGTTAGCGGGGCGCTTCTGCCATCCATCTCCCTCACTTATCAAGTGGCTGCGATGAAACCATCCAACCCTCGGTAGCTATATCAGCCCAAAAGGAACGGCAAATGAGATCACAAACCGCACAGCAAAATCTCGAGACACTTTTGCCGTTCTCCACCATCTGTAGCGCCGGCGCGAAATCACTCTCACCCTGTAGGGCTGAATTGGCAATACAGCTCTTCGTTCAGCCCTACTGTATGGTTGCGAAACCTGGCCTATCAAGTCGACAGGCATAAAGAGGCTACTCTCCTTCGGTTGTCACTGCCTTCGCAGCTTACCTAATGTCTAGTGGAGCACCGCCTTAGCAATGAGCGTGTTCGACGTGTACTTGGTGCAGGAAGAGCGAGTGAACCGCTCAGCACCATTATATCACGCACCAGGCCCCGATGGCCACGTGTTGCGCATGCCAATCCACCGACTCCCGCGACGTGCATTGTTTGCGCGCCCGGGGTCTGGATGAATGAAGAGGAGGGGTGGCCAAGCGATGATTTGATCAAAGGGAGTGTCGTCCATCACTTCGAAGTTGGCGTCAGTTGATGTGTCTCCATTGCTTGGCTGGGCGAGTAGAAGATGAGCACGTTTAGTTGGAGACACTAGTTGACACGACAAGAAGCCGACCTCATTGGCCTTTATGTTGTGAGTTTCTTTGTCCGTCTCCATTCCGCTTATTTTCCCCCTCCAACCTCGATCTCCCTCTTAACGCTTAGTATCTTACTAAGTAGCCTGTCGCCTGTTTTTCGGCATTCTCTAATTTTCAGCGTCTTGCTTTTTTCGTCTCCCTTATTTTTATGTCTTGCGGCACCATAGTGGATATATTACTCACCTTCAGCTTCTGTGTACTGATGATGATGATCCAACCCTCTACGTGTTGTTCATTTTTCATTTCAGCTTCCTACTTCTTTTACGCCCCAACTACGCATTGTACACGAAAGCGCTCCTTAGTCGCGACCGGACAGAGCCTCTTCCTTTTTACTGTTTGTTTGGGTTGATTCGCTTAGTGCTACTTGCCGGCCGGATTCGTCCAATTTACAGGAGCAGTTTTTGCTGCCCGGATGCTGTGAGTAATCGGTTATTCCATCTTCTTAATTTTAGTACGAAAATTCATTCTCTTTTGTCATGTTAACCACAACCATATCTCTTGGCACGCTTTTCTTGAACTCTCATATTAAACCGCTTATCATTCTAATCTCAGCTTACTAGTAATCTCGACCTGAAGTCCAGTGTATTTATATGTTTTCTTACCGTTTCGATTGATTTTGTTCGTACTACCTCGTTTTGTGACCTTTTAGTTAATCCGATCTCTTTTACGCTAATGTCATTTCACTGTTGACCCATGTACCGGTTACGTTTCGAGCAGCTTTTCCTGAACGTGATTGGTCAGTCCGGCGTCTCCCCGTTTGTTTTTTCTCCTCTGAGTGATCTCCTTAGGTATTTCAACCTCTGACTCGCCAGGCATCGGTGGCCACGGATTCTCGGAACGATCTCTGTATCTGTTGCTCATAGTGTTAAGCCAGGTGAAAACTGAAAAACAGTGTTGTGTAATATGATGATTATTTGCGTAACAGTCAGTCTCAAAAATACTGCAACAGGACGTACGAGGCACTCGAGGTCACACGAACACAGAATCCAACTTATCAATCAATAATTACGGTAGACGGGCGCACGCGTTTAGCGTCTTGCCATGCACATCATTTGGGTTCACTGATCCATTCTTTAAGAGGTACACCTCCCAACACTTCCCCGTTTGAAGTCCACTTTCATATGATTTCAGCCTGGGGTTAACCTGGAGTGGCGTGACAGGAACTCGGCAATGATCGGGCCATATTCTGGGTCGACAATCGGGTGCAAGAGAGGCTGTTGAATTATTAGGCTTATCTTGCTGAGTAGCTTCTGTTTTTGGTAGTCTGAACTCGTCCAGAGGTAATTCAAGTGGCGTAGTTAGGGCATCTTCTCTTCTGTCAAATGAGATCTAGCTCCTGAGTTGATTATTGTGGCGGATACATCTGTCATCGCCTATAGCCACTTCATAACAGCCATGGCCATATCCTTTTACAATCATTCCAGGTGTCCAAGAGATTTGGTTGTTCCGATAGTCCTCTGCCAACACTTTCTGTCCAACTTCGAAGTGTCGTGGTATAGCGCGATGCCTTCGGTTGTACTGCTGCTCCATTATCCAGTTTCTTTCGGGATTTGGTCTATTCGGTGGCCTTATTAGATCAAATTTCTTTCGAAACTTTCTGAGCAGCAGTGTTTCTGCTGTCGACTTCCCTTCAGACCTTTGTGGATTAGGCGTAATCCTGTACGTTAGCAGAACAGTTTGTAGGTCCTCTTGGATTAGTCTGTCTCCTTCCACTTTGAGCAGAGGCCTCTTGATAGTATCCACAAATCGTTCAGCTTGCCCATTCGACTGTGGATAATAAGGAGGTGAGCTCAAATGCTGCATGCCGTGTACCGCACAGAATCCAGCAAAATCTGAAGAGGTAAACTGAGCTCCATTGTAGGATACTAATGTTTCCGGAAAACAGAACCGACGGAATACTTCCCTGATAACTTTAATCGTAAGCGCCGTTGATGTTTTCGACATTTGGAAGATCTCGGGCCATTTGCTGTATACATCGATGATAAGTAAGTAGTTCTGTCCTTTGATTGGTCCTGTGAAATCGAGGTGTACCCTTGACCATGGTTTCGCGTGCTTTGGCCAGGAGAACAGTTCCGTGGCGATTTTGCTGCTAGGGCACAATTTGAACAATAACGTGTTAACTTCTCAGTTTGGGAATCCACAAACGGCCAGTACACATAACTCCTCGCTAGAGCTTTCATCCTGTTTGAACTGGGGTGTCCAGTATGAAATTGATGTAAGACTTTAGATTGAAGTTCAGCTGGGATGACGACACGTTCACCAAACAAGAAACAGTCTTCGACGACCGACAGTGCATTTCGTCTCTGGAACAATTGTTGTAGCTGTGCGTCGGAAAATTTTCGAGACCACTTTGAGTGGTAAAACCTATTGATCTGTGACAGCAGCGGGTCCCGTAAGGTGGCGTCTCGAATCTAATTGAAAGATATTGGAAGCTGGCTCGCAGTATCCGAGAGTGCACGGTTAACTTCCGTTTCGATTGGGACATTTGCAACGACAGTGTCTTCTGGTTGGTGCTGTTCGTCTAACAACCGTGACAGCGCATCGGCCTTACAAATGTCGCTCGTAGATCGGTACTTGATGTTGAAATCGCACCCCAGCAAAGTTCTCGCCTATCTCTGCAGACGATTTGCCGTATATACAAGAATTCCTTTCTTCGAGCCGAATGTAGCAAGGATCGATTTGTGGTCCGTTAGTAAGGTTAAATGACGGACATATAACATTTTCTGGAAATGGTTCACTGCAAACACAATAGTGAGAGCTTCCTTTTCAATTTGACTATACTTTCTTTCTGCTGCTATCAGTGCACGAGCGGCATGAGCGACTAGCTCCTCAGACCCATCTGAGAAAATGTGCGAGATGACTGCTCCAACTCCTTAGCTGGATGCATCCGATGCCACTATAATTGGCAGTTTTGGATCGTTGTTCGTTGGCATTAGTTCTGAGCTTAGTAACAGTTTGATGCTGTCGGAGGATTCCTGACATTCGGTAGTCCAGACGCACGGGACGTCCTTCATCAGCAACCGGTTTAATGGTCCTCCTAGGTCGGGCATGGACGACAGGTAGGTACCGTAATAACTCACCATACCAGCAATGATCTCAACGTCGCTACGTCCTTCGGCGGAGGCATTTTCTTGATGTTTGTTGGATCAGGTCTTCGTCCATATTGGTCATTGATAAAACCCAGGTATGTGATGGAGGTCATGAAAAACTCACACTTGTCCATTCGTAGGCGAAAACCATACTACTTTATTCTATCAAGCACAAGTTCCGTTCGTTTGTGTAGTTCTTTCTGGTTAGGTCCCATGATTATATCGTCCAGGAATGCAGCGGCATAAAGTATCCCCTGTAGCATCGTATCCATAATTTGATCAAAGATTGCCCGGGCCGACTTAACGCCAAATGGTAGGCGTGTATAGTGGAATAGTCCTCTGTGAGTGTTAATTGTTAGCGACTCACGCGATTCTTCTGACATTTCAATCTGGACATATGCGTCTGACAAGTCCAGTTTGACAAAACATTTGCCACCGTTCAGCTATGCACAAAGGTCCTCAGGGATGGGTAGAGGGTATTGGTGGTCTTCTAAGACGACGTTCAGGCCAGTAGAGTAATCTGGACATAAGCGTATCATTCCGTTTGGTTTCTTGACGATCACAATGCGGCTTCCCATGAAGAGAAATTCGTCAGTTTGATAACTCCGGTTAACTGTAGTCTGTCAAGTTCTTGGTCGGCGATTGAAACCACTGCATATGGAACTGATCTCTTCCTACTCAGGTGATGCAGGGCGATCCATGGACAGTTAGCTTAGAGCATCCGCCGGAGGCCGAGGTCCGAAATACGATCACAGCCCTCAAACGTTTTCGTGCCGCTGGCCCGGATTCCCTACCACCTGCACTATTTAAGGATGGAGGTGAAATCCTCTGCAAAGCACTGACCTCCTTATTCGAACGTATCTGGAATGAAGGGAGTGTCCCGGCTGATTAGAACGATTCGATTATGGTGGCAATATACAAGAAGGGCGGTCGCACAGACTGTTCTAACCACAGGGTTATTAGCCTAACGCCAGTTGTGACAAAATTACTCGTCTAGATTCTCGTTCGTCGCCTCACTGCGGAACGGGAATCTCGGATTAGAGAAGAGCAGGCCGGTTTCCGCCCAAGACGTGGCTGTATAGACCATATATTCACTTTGCGGCAGGTGCTAGAGCAGCGCCACGCATACCGCAGACCGACAATAGCTGTGTTCCTCGATTTCAAGAGTGCGTTCGATTCAGTCGATTGCTCAATTCTGTTCGAGATACTTGTGCGGAAATGTGTTCGCACGAAATATGTGAACATCCTTCGTGCTGTATACTCGAACACTACAGGCCGCGTCAGGGTCTACGGTGTCCTATCGGATAGCTTTCCGACTACAAATGGCGTTCGTCAGGTTTGTCCGATTTCGCCACTTTTGTTCAATTCCGTCGTTGATTCTATCATGGCGTGTTTGCTTGCGGAATCTCCCGATGTAGGCGTTGAAGTGCTGCCTGGTGAACGTTTAGTTGATCTTGCTTATGCGGACGATATCGTCTTGCTTTTCGACGATGTTGCGGCGACACAATCAACCCTGAATAGCCTGTCCAGAATGGTCCCATTATTTGGTATGCACTTCGCACCTTCAAAGTGCAAAGTGTTGCTGCAGGACCACCAGCCACTTGATGACCCCTTGACGCTTGCTAACGAGGAACTCGATGTGGTTGATCAATTCACTTATCTTGGCAGCTGCTTCAGCAATGATGGGCGCATAGAAACTGACGTCAGCTCACGCATTGCAAAAGCCAGAGCTGTCTTCTTGAACCTGCGGCATCTTGGGTGACAGAAGGGAGTTTCCCTTCGTCTGAAGGGCCGTGTATACAAGGCCACAGTGAGGGCCGTTCTGCTTTATGGTAGTGAAACTTGGCCCCTTCGGTCTGAAGATCTGAGGCGCCTTCAATTCTTTGATCATCGTTGTCTTCGAAGCATTGCTGGAGTCGGGTGGCACTGGCGTGTCCGCAACGATGATGTTCGTAGGCGAGTACTAGGTGGTGATAACCATACTTGCTCCTTAGAACAACAGATAGCACAGAATAAGTTGCGTTGGCTCGGGCACGTGCTACGTATGCCTGGTCACCGCTTACCTAGGAGCGCCTTGTTTAGTCTGCCAGGTGTAGGGTGGCGCAACGCTCGTGATAGATAGAAGTTGACTTGGTAGCGGGAAATGAAGTCACTGACAACCAAACTGGGTACCCTTGGTCAGTGTCGTCTTCCCCGCTGAAGTCCACGTGAATCGCCTTGCGCTTGGCTCGAGACTTTACAGGACATGGCTCTCAACCGACACCAGTGGCGCGTCTGCTGCCATTTTCTAATCGGATTGTCTGTTTAAAGTGTGTTTGGTGCTGAGTT